TCATCTGAAAAGAGGACTTTGGACCACTGGGCAACAGTCCACTCTGTGAACACAAGAGAAAAATGATAAACAAGAGACCAAAAAATGCAGATGAGCTGAAGGCCATTGTCAAAGAAACCTGGGCTTCCATACCACCTTAGTAGTGCCACAAACTGATCACCTCCATGCCACGCCGAATTGGGGCAGTAATTAAAGCAAAAGGAGCCCCTGCCAAGTATTGAGTACATGTACAGTATATGAACATACTTTCCAGAAGGCCAACTATTCACTAAAAATGTTTTTTATTGGTCTTATGACGTATTCTAATTTGTTGTGAATTGGTGGGTTTTTGTTAAATGTGAGCCAAAATCATCACAATTAAAAGAACCAAAGACTTAAACTACTTCAGTCTGTGTGCATTGAATTTATTTAATACACGAGTTTCACAATTTGAGTTGAATTACTGAAATAAATGAACTTTTCCACGACATTCTAATTTATTGAGATGCACCTGTATTCCATAAGGGCAAAGTGCTGAATACATCTCATAAAGCAATGCGCTTAATGAATTTTGCATACCACATGTAGGAGGTAGCAGCACATAATCCATACCTAAAAGAAAAGAACAAAGAACAGTTCACCTCAAAGTCATCTTTAAGATTACAATCAAACAGTTCATTTTTCATTTTTTATTCCTTTTTTAAAAGCAACCTTTTCTTTTACAGTTCAATAGTACATGCAATGCATGATTTAAATTAAAACACTTTAAATAATAAAAACCAATTCTGTGTTAAGGTATGAAAATAGATTAGCAAAATGTGTTTAATTAAACAAACCATGTGATGACATATTGCATGTGTTCATTCCTCAAGGTTACTCTTGTCTGCCCTCCTATTGGCCCACCAGGTGTTGTACTGTCTGAATGGGGGGGAGAGAGTTTAGCAGATTTGTGCACTTTTCTGATCAAAACTTTGTATAGGTTTGTACACCATATAGTCACCAAACATTAGTATTAAGAGCAGTTCTAACCAAGCACAGCATCAATGAAGATTTCCTCAGCACCAGTGACCTTCGCCATGGCCTCCAGGTCACGATAGTGCCACCTATTTGTTTCCACATTGTTTTGAGGGACAAATG